CTTTAACTTCAATCCAAGTTTTTAAATGAGTTAACAACTCATGTTAACTCATTTACCATATCCTTGATTAGTGAAAGGGGTAGGAAAAAGCTCTATGTGACATCCTCAATACCGGGTTAGTGACCAAATTGTAAAATTTCAGAATTTGGTGATTAAAGTAGAATAGTTGAATAGTTCAATGATTTAATTGGAAATATTTCATAAATTTTTTTAGTAATTATCAAAGGAATTAAAGGGCAAAATAGTCATTTGACAAGAAAGATATTTTCCCCTTTATATGAATGATTCACGTGGGGGGAAGAGAGTTATCTAAAACTCTTCAGTCTTCTTCTTCCTTCTTCTTCTTCTTCCTTCTTCTTCTTCCTTTTTCTTCCTCTTCCCCGTGGAAGCTAGGCAAAGGTAATATTTCTTTTTTGTTGATTATTAGCTGAAATTTAAGTTGGGTTTTGATCATAAGATAATAACTAAGCTTAAGGAAAGCTTAAGTTATCTTAAAATCAAAAGATAAAGGAGTTAGGGAAGATTAAAGATTTGGAGTTCTTGAATGAAATCTTGAAATAGAGTTGATAAGTTGAATTTGAAGTTAAATTTGACTTGTCATCAGCTTAATTATGAAGTATTAAGTGTTAGAATTGGATTTGAAACATATTGAAAATTGGGTATGATTCTTGAAGTTCATAAAGAGGAGAATATTTTGAGGTTTAAGATATGATAAATGAGTAGAAATTGGTTTAAGCGTGTATATTTGAGTTAAGAATATGAAAGGGAATGAAACATTAAGAATTGAAGTTGGAAATAGTGAATTTTCGTTCATGAACAGTGATTTCTGGGCAAAATTTATAGATTTCAATAGGGGTACAAATACCCTAGGGGGAGGTACCGATATCCCCTAAAGGAAAAATATAATTTTGGTTCATTAAACTAGCTTAAGTTATTAACATTAAGTTGTAAGGTTTAGGCTTCTGATAATTGTCTTGAAAATTATGTTTATGTAGATATAGAGCCTAAACAAGTTCCGGAACAATCAAAGAATTAGGATAGAATCAAAGCAAGGCTAAGGTGAGTGCAATTTAAATTGTATTTATGTTATTGATCAAACATTGGCTTGTGATGAGCCAGTTACTATGGTAAGAAGTAACTTCTAAAATGTTATGTGATTATTATGTGTGTATTAGTATATAGAAATAGATGTATGTTCTTATATGTTACATGATTTACATGCTTACGTGAAAATGCACTTGTGATATATGTGATATTGATATAAGTAATTATAAGAATATGTAATATAAGTGTTATATGAAATGTGACCATGTAATATGAATGTGATATGTGAACATAAGTGACTAATTGACATGAGCTATGTGACTATATGAAAGCAAGATCATATGACATGAAGTACATGATAAGAGGATATGATACTTTATAAGAGTATTACATGATATGAAATAAAAGAGTTATGAGTTATATGCATATGAGATATATGTTTACACATACGTGTGGTATATGACAAAAGAGAAGGAACATGTGATTATAAGAGAAATGATATGAATACAAAAATGTTTTAAATGATAATGCCCATGTTATATGATACGAGAGCTATATGTATAGTTGGCATGCCAAGAGTCGAGGGATATAGTGGTCCTTAGGGACAATACAGTGGTCCTTCGGGATAATACAATGGTCCTTCGGGATAATACAGTGGTCCTTCAGGACAAATTTCATATGCCACTCAGTGGAACTTATACGAGTTGTGGTGACATCATTAGTGCACAACCTCAATGTACTCACATACCTTCAGTTCTCAACAGTGTACATGGGCTAATAAAGAGATTTAATAAGTATACTGAATATGATATGTATATGTGATTTGTTATATGGAATATATCACATGATTAATGTAATGGTGTATTGCTTGGTTAATGCATGATATGCTATGTATAAGATTATTAAATTATAAGGATTAATTATAATGAATGTGAAATGTTAAACGTGTTGATAAGGATATATGTGCATGTGGGTATATGTTACAGAAATGATATATGTTTTTATATGATATGATCGTAATAAATGTTCATGCATTTGATATGAATTATAGATGTTAAGTGTATTTCTTTATGAAATGTTTTATGGTTTCCATTATATGTTTATATGCCTTACTAAGTCTATGACTTAGCGTGTGATTGTTTCACACGTAGGTTTCGAGAATAGGAAGATTGACAGGTCAGTTCCTCCTTTCCAAAGATCAGATCAGAAAAGAATTAAATAGTATGTATTTTGTAATAATGATAGTGGTTGGCATGTAATAAAGATTTGAATTCGATATGATTTTATTGGTTTGTAAAATCATATGATTGAGTTTTGTAATGTTTTAAATGTGTATTTGTAAATGGAAATTTTATACGAATGAAAGCTTAGTATTTTATGAGTTTAATACATGTTTGTCGAAGTTACTGTAGCAGTACTGTAGCAGGGTATCGATACCCCTGAAGCAATCTGGAAAAATTTAACATTTGATACTGTTCACGGTACTATTCATGAAATGTATTTTTTTCAAATTGGTTTTAACGAACATAATTCAATAATATATGATCGTATTTTATTAATATAAGTTCAAATGTTTTGTTATTTTATACGAATATTGTTTTAAAAAGTCAATGTTACATCTCGGACTCGTATTCGGGTTAGGTACGGGTTGGGGTGTTACACTCTAAGGCTAGAGGAAATGAGAAATTGATCATTGATTGATTTGAATGCATTTCCAGGAGCTACGAAGTAACACATTCATAACTCCTTCACACCATTTGTGAGTCATTAGAATGCATCTAGCTAGTGAGTATTGAGTTTATAAAGCATGAATGAGCATCCATGGTAGATTGAAGCTTTTTGTGTTTTTAGCATGTTTAAAGACCTATTATGGCTCATTCTTTCATATATAAAACGTTAAGAATGTTTGGGCATCTCAGTAGGGCATTTGAGGTAGATTTGGGAGTCATTTTTGTGCCCAAATATGACACTTCTGGGTGTAGGTATCGGTACTGGAAGAATAATATCGATATCGCTCATCAGATGGCTTAAATAAATGGGTTTTAGGCGAGAAGTATCGGTACTCATCCATTAAGTATCGATACTATGGGCTAAGTATCGATACTCGCGGGAAGAGTATCGATACCGAGTTTACTTCACATATTCCAGTAGCCTATTTAGATATCAGTAGTCATGAAAGCACTGATATTTAGGTTAGATGTAACACCCATCTCCCGTATACCTTTATGTATACGAGATACAGATGTCCCATCACTTTCGAAACAGTTACTAAGTAAAAATCCGTACAAATTTTTTTTTTCTTTTTAAACATAAATGATAATATAAAAATATCATATCATATGAATTATACTTCATTATATCGAATTCAAAACAAAATATTTTCTTTTTTATGAATAGTGAATAGTGAACAGTGTGCAGTGTACCGATACACTGCTACAGTACCGTGAACAGTGCATCGATGCACCCAACATCGAACTTAAAATATGCATCGATGCACTGCTACAGTAATTTCCGAAAAATACATAAAACTTTACCTTTCATCACTGTAAAATTCACTATTTTGTTCCCAACTTAATTTAATAAAATAAATTGAACATTATTATTTACATGCCACTATCTATGTCAAAAATTCCATCATAGGATGTCTTACTGATATTGATATATACTCCTCTTATTTTTAAATCATTTCAATTTAATCTTTAATTAAATTTTTGGGGCATTACATTAGAGTATCGATACTTCCAATAGGGGTATCAATATTTATGTATTTTTTAAAATATTGAAGTAAATTTTGGTATCGATACCCCGGTTAGTATCGATACACTAGCTCAGGAGTACCAGTAGTGGTCCAAGAGTATCAATACTACCATTTCTCCTCAGTTTGTAATAACCGCATAATATCGATACCCAAGGATAAGTATTGATACTTCTCCTCAGTTTATAATAATCGTATAATATCGATACCCAAGGACAAGTATCGATACTTGTGGGTTAGTACCGATACCAAGGGGCTTAGTATCGGTACCATCGTACATTTTTGGACAAGAAATCCAAGGGATTTAGAAGTAATATTGAGACCCAATGACACTAAAACATCATCAAATAAAACTACAAGCGAGAATTCTGTTAATATATAATTACAACTATAAACAATATAAACTAAGATGACATAAAACTAGCATTGGTTGATGCTCGGAAAAGGTCAGGACACCCGAGTTACTTTAGCAGATGACGATCGTTTCAAGGTATAAAATATTTGGATATCCTTAAGCAAGTGCGTGAGGCACTTTGAGACTAAGGCGCGAGGCCCAAGCACTCACGAGGTGTAGGTTAATGTATTGTGTCCGATGCAAAAATTCTAGATCTAACCCTATGTATGCTAGAGGGGTGTACGTCCCAAAATGTGTAAACCTCCGATCATACCATAGTGTAGTGTGCAATATACGAGTATATTCACTTCTTTGTTTGCACTCGTTAGCATAAACATTTAATGAACACTTTTAGTATGTTTAGTTTTTAGTATGGCACTGGGCTAGTGAGCTCAACTTTCGGAATTTGTTTCCATACGAATGTTTTTAGGAGGAGTATTTGAGGACCTTATCGCGCAACAGACGGTCCAGACGGTCCGAACATCAGAATACATCTTGAGTCTTATTCTTTAGAGGGCATGTATTATCCATAGACCTTCTTGTACTTGAGTCATAATTTTATTTTCAAATACTTAACTATATTGTTTTTATATATTTATTTTGGTAGTTCCCCGATATGAATTAAACTATTTATATTTGATTTTACATTTTATCCAATGGTCTTTATATGATATTTTACAAATGTTTTAAAGCAAACTTTTGGGTTAGCTACTCCAGTGGTCTCATTCTCATATCAAGGTCGGTATTGAATCATATCAAGGTCAGTACTGCTCTCGCTTTTGTATCTCTTCTCTAGCTACTCGATCCTTCAATACGAGTATGTATTCAATACAAATGAAAACATGATTATGTACTCGATACAAGCATTCGTATTGTGGGTACAAATAATCAACAGAAATTGAATGCTTATTGCACAAACATTGGACTTATCCCATTGTCTGTCATTAACGGAGGACATGCGAACTTTGTTACATCCCCTTACGCTCTCTTTGGTTTCTTTGCTTTTTGTGCTTTCTTCACCCGTGGTAGTGGAGGGAAGAAAAGTCGGAACGCCCATGCTGCCAGTATAGCTCCGATGAACGGACAGATCCAATAACGTAAAGTTGATCCCATGTGTTGTGCCAGTTGTTTACATATGCCCAACCAAATGCCTGCAACATCGTTCACCATTATTACTAAGCTTTAAATGATGTCCTCGCCGGAAAAAATGGTTAATTCTCAATTAGAAGCAGGAAATGACTGGATATTCGGATACAACTCGAAGAACTGTCCAAATACATGAAAAACTATTTGCTTATACATAACTGGACAGGAACATGCAATTGTATTGAAGATATTGGCATGCATTAATTGTTATGCTTAAAAAGGCATATTGATAATTGCATTTGCGTTTATGTAAAATGAAATATTATGAGCACTTCAAATCACTATACTCGAGAAAATAGCAGAAAATTTAGTCCAAATACGAAACACGACCAGAAATCATCTGTGATTGATCATTAATTACAAAGGAGATTGCATATGGTGCATGAAAAACTAACCAAGACTAGCTTTCGAAGAATGAATCATGAAAACCAAGTTTAGAAGAGGAAACCTCACAAGTAGATCTAGGAAAAGAACGACAAATAACCGCATAGGAGACGGTTACTGCCACGACTAACCGAATATACAAAAAGAACCACAAATTCAAGTATTCAACTAGGGTGAGCCTAAGTACATGGAAACAGAGTGAACTGATCACAGTTTTTATCATAAGGCCGGACTCTAGACAACCATCCTTGACTAACCAGTCAAACAAACACTGTGCAAGAGCACCCTAAACCCAATTGCTATCCCAATATCGGAAGTGCATTATCAAAAATTCAGTGCAGCACTATCAGCACACCAGATAAATAGGAGTCGTGACCACACTCACCAAGAAGAAAGCTACAGCTATGTTATCGGAGACAGTGCAGCTTCGGGGAAACTGCTAAATGAGGAAGCTAAGATAGATACGATGAACTGCATGCGAGTATTGACTAAGGAGCAGATTTTTTCTGAATTCCGACCATGCTTAAATCGAGCATCATACATGACAATCAAATTCAAGCAAATATTAGAAAGCATCACAAGAGGCACGTATTTCAGACTACAATCATATTCCAAGGAATCCAAACCAGTGAAGTAGTAACAAGAAAGCCGAACATAGGAAGTCAAAAAGACTGCATATACTTAAGGAGCTTCAAAAAGGAATAAGCTAGAGTGGCAATTTGCTAGTAATAGAGGAAACAAGGACTCATATCAAAAACTTCGTATTAAGACCACCCTATATCGGTTAGATACAATAAAAGGCAGGACATCATATGGTAAAAGGAACAGCAACTTACATTAGCGGGATTCATGGAATGTCCGGTGTAACCAGTACTAGGCATGATTATCGCCACCGTTGAAATGGCGAGCAACCATGTTTTGAATATTGCACTCTGTGGACCTTTAAGAATGATAAAAAGAACAGCAAAGGTAATTACAAAAGTCAAAACGCCCTCGGCAATGGCTCCGGTATGTGTATCTACTTTCAGAGATGGTCCCACTATCATTTGCTTGAACTGCTCCGGAATCACCTCCATGATCGCAACGGCACCGCCCACGGCACCAACAACCTGCCAGTGAGATATTCCATTTTCAATAATGCACCTTGAAATATCAACTAGTCATTTAATATTATTAGTCAAGAGTGTAAGATGAAGTATTAAAGATGAAAAGCTTTGAAAAAGGAAATAAACATGGGAACATCTCAGATTTACAGCTTAGAAGAGCAATAAAGTTCAAATTCGAAAGGAAAATGAAAAACCTAAACCATGTGATAAAAAAGCACACATATCAAAAAGGACTGACAACGAAGTAAACATTGAAGAATATTTAAAGAAAAGAAGTAACTAAAGCTTAAAAGACAGAGTAAAAGTACGGAAATTCTAAAATACAATTTGTCTATATAAAACTAAAAGCAAGAGAAATAAACTGTAATTGAAAATGTTATAAATTTGTATAAATTTTTCGTTGTAAGTTTTAAATCTCGCAATCTAACTTTTTGATTATAATCGAAAATATTATAAATTTGTATAACTTATTAAATTAAATATAATAACATTTTAAGTTAAAAATCGCCTTAAATTAGGCTACCTCACACCATAACTAACCATAAAAGTAAGCTACTTTCATTCCTTGAACTAGCAATGAACATTGTTAATTTGTTGTAGGATTTAAGGAAGATGATTTTTACAATTAAGATTCCATCACTCAAGTAAAGTACAGTAGTGTCAGGCAAGGCAAACTTTTTTTGTTTTTTTCAAAAGCAGATGCAGAATAAAGCATTTCAAAGGAATTTAATTTTGATAAAATTAAAATACTATCAATGAAACCACAAAAAATGCTATGATTTGATCTAATTGATAATTAAAAAGCAGAATCCAGATCAAATCAAATAGAGTTCCATAAAAAAACCAAAAACCCACACAGAAAACACGAAAAAGATGACATTTTTAGTTAGCTCCAATCAAATCTAATAGAATTCCATAAAAAAAAAACCCACACGGAAAACCCAGAAAAAGATAACAAGTTTATAGTTTACCTGAGCTGGGAACCGAAGGGCCATGGAGATAAGGCTATCATCACCGACTCCGGCAGCATAGAATGCGGCATTTCCGGTGGGATTAAAGCTAGCTCCACCAAGAAACTCACCAATAATCGTGAAGATGAAAACGAAAACGAAAATAATGACAGTGATGATTACAATAGGGGCCCAAGAAATCGTTTCGACGCCGACGGCGGTGGCTATCCAAGAAGTAAATAAACCAAACATTGATGAACAGAAAATCCACATGAAAGTAATCAACATGTCTGCAATTGCAAGCTTTACTGGACCCATTGTTTAAAATTGTTTTTTTTTCTAATAACAAATCAAATGGAAGAATGGGTTTTCAGTAAGATGGAATTTGCTTTGATGAAAAGTGTGGAAGGAGGAAGAAAAGAGCTTCGATGGGTATTTTATTTATTTATTTTTCTTTGCCAAATCAATGTACAGAAGAAGTTTCCAAATCATACGTAGTCTTTAATTATATATATATATTTAATTTCTTCTTTTTATATAGGGTAAACTATTCTAATAGTCCCTTTTATTTTTGATCTAATCGATTTTGATCATCATTTTTTTAATTAAATACGTTTGATCACATATGTTATCTATCGATTTAAGTGCTTCAACCATTAACCTATTAACATAAATATGAGTTGGCAATTAAAAAATTAAAAACCCACGTGTGGATGAGTTGTCAATTAAAATATAAAAAATATAAAAAAACCCACGTGAGTGTTTCTTCTTCTTCTTCTTCTTCCATTAAACCACGCACGGCCATTCCACGACCATTTAGTGAAAGACTTAGATGGGTTTGAAGTTTCTTCTTCTTCTTCAAACACCCATGACCATAAATAGCTTTCGCCTCTTTAGAGATATGAGTTCTGGACTTTTGTTTCCAAGAGCAAGTTATTTGCTTTCATAGGTGTATGCTAAGCTTCACTTATCACTTATCAGTGCATGTTAGGCCAGTGTTTAGAAGAAGATGGCAGCAAGCCTTGGGCTTTACCGGTTCCTCTTCCCACTATAATGGGACCGATGCCAAGGCGCGTAACGCTGGGATTAACGTCCCTAGTTTTTTCAGTGACACCATATGTGCATGTAGAGATGAAAACAATGGTAAACCCAGTTTGTATAAAATCATTATTCTCTTATATAAAAAGATGGTCCCGTCGATGACAGTTTGGATTATGGTACGAACCTGTTAAATAATAATGGTAAACATTCGAGTAAACAATGGTAAATTAAGTAGAAGAAGAAGACCCCGTGAGTGATTATGGTGAATGAAAAGTAAACTCTTTTTGGATAATGGTGAAGAAGAAGAAGAAAAATTAAGGCCCATGAGTGATTATGGTGAAAAGAAGAAGAATGGTAATGAAAAGTAAACTCTTTTTGGATTATGGTGGTGAAGAAGAAGAAGAAGAAGAAGACCCGTGAGTGACTATGGTGAAAATAAGAAGAACAGTAATGAAAAATAAGCTCTTTTTGGATTATGGTGGTGGTGGTGAAGAAGAAGAAGAGTCCACGTTTGAAGGTAAAAGGGTTTTTTATTCTATTAATTTTTTAATTGTTTGTTAATCTGTTAATAGAGGTTAAGATTAAGGATCTCAACCGAATGGACCGATAAAATTAGAGATTAAACGCATTTAATTAAAAAAGTATTGACTAAAATCGATTACACTGAAAACAAAAGGGATATTGGCATAGTTTACCCTTTTATTTATTTAATTCATTTTCTTTAAATAAAGTACAAGAATAATCTTTTAGGATTTGTCTTTTTCCTAATTAAATATTAATTTTCCTAGATCCCTGCCATCGTTTTATTGGAAAGCTTAAAAAGCCAGCTTTTTCCCATACAGAAATAAAAAAAGCTTACTCAATAATTGATTTTTGAATGGGTGAATTCACGAGATAATGTTCTCGAATTTTTTTTTTCACGATATGGTGCACATTCCAGATTAATTCTTGGAATGGGGTGAATTCTACAGTGATCATAGGACGCCATGCAATCCAGGCGATCTTGTAGGACGCCATGCAATCCAGGCGACATACGGGGTGACATACGAGCCATACGAGCCAATGGGGAGAGGTCGCCATGCGAGGTCGCCATGCAGTCCTATACGAGGAATAGAGAGGTCGCCATGCAGCCTAGGCGACCTTGTAGGTCGCCATGTAGTCCCGGCGACCTACAAGGTCGCCATGTAGTCCCGGCGACCTTGTAGGTCGCCATGTAGTCCCGGCGCCATTCCCATCATTCATGCACAGCCACATAGATTCCTTCACGTGCTCCCCGCTGCATGCTGCATGCCTACAGCTCCCAATGAAACCATGTGAACCATTTGAGCCAATGCATGTGAAATAATTGGTACAATAATTGAACCATTGCTGCGTGAAATATCATAGCTGCAATTGTACAATTATTGGTGAAATAATTGAGGCAGCCGGTTGGTGAAATAATTGAGGCAGCCGGTTATAAAAGAAAGAAAAAAAGGGAGAAGAGATTGCAGAAGAAAGTTAGAAGAGATTGCAGCCGAGAAAGAAAGAAAGTGAGAAAGGAAAGAAAGAAAGGGAGAAAGGAAAGTAAGAAGAAGAAAGGGAGATAAGGTAAATTTTTTTATATTTAAATTAGTTTATTATTATAAATGTTTAATTTATTAGTTTAGGGTTTAGGGTAAAACAAAAAGCAGCTAATTAGTTTGTTAGTTTAGGGTTATATGATTGTTAGTTTAAGTTATAGTATACATAAATTAAAAATTATTTAATTAATTAGTATATGTTTGATAGTTATATAGTTAAAAAATAATTAATTAGTTTGTTTTGTTAATAGTTAGTTATATAAAAAATTATTTAATTAGTTTGTGTTAGTTAAATAGTTAAGTTATATTTGTTTGTTGAATTTATATTATATAAAAAATTAGTTAGTAAGTTTATTAGTAATATATTATAATGAAAAAATAGTTTATTAGTTAGTTTTAGTTATATAGAAGAATATTTTATTAGTTGTTTAAGAGTTTAGCGTTTACGTTTAACTTATATTTTAAAAAGTTTAGTTTGTTAGTTTATTAGTTTATTATATTATAAGTTATTATATTAAAGTTTAGTGTTGTAAATTAGTTAGTTAGTTTATATTAGATTATATTAAATGATTTTTTAAATATTGTTGTTTAATTTTTTTTACAGATTCATTCCAATGGCTGACCAAATTCCACTGTTGAGGCTTGACAATGAACATATTTCAAGTCATTTGGGAATAATGGTGAATAAAATATTTGTTTAATGAATTATAATTAATAAATATTTGAATATTATTTTATGATTGTGATAATTTTTTTGAAATATTTAATTGTAGGAGGACGAGCAGCGAGTCCTTCGTCTTCGACTACATAAAGTGCCCAAACCACACCCACTAATAGAAGAAAATTTGCAAGAGGCTGGATTTTGGTATATCACATTTGTGCGAGATTACAAGTTGGTCCCAGGTTTGATCAGTGCGTTGATTGAACGTTGGAGACCAGAAACGCACACGTTTCATTTGCCGTGTGGCGAATGCACGATAACTTTGGAGGATGTGGCAATGCAACTCGGGGTCCAAACTAATGGGATGCCGGTGGTAATGTCACATGAGTTTAATAAGGTGGAACAACTTTGCAACTTGTTTCTTGGGAAAGCGCCCGTACCACCAGAGTGTAAAGGGTGGCGGGTGAGGTTGTCATGGTTGAAGAATGAATTTCAACTTCAATCAAATAGTACGGAGCACGAAATTATATATGCAACACGAGCATATATATTACAATTGATTGGGGGAATTTTGATGCTTGATAAATCCGGTAGTTATGTTCACACTCAATATCTTCTTTTTTTAACAAATTTTGAGAATTGTAGGCAATATAGCTGGGGTTCGGCGATATTGGCGTTCTTGTATCGTGAGATGTGCAAGGCGTCATTAGTCGTGAATGATAATAATACAGTAGAAATCGGTGGATGTCTGTTGCTGCTACAATCATGGGCTTGGCATAGACTTCCGTTTTTGACACCGATTAGTCGGACTGCGGTTGACTTTCCACTTGCCGGAAGGTAATATGAATCCTCTATTTTAATATAAAATATTAATTAAAAAAATATTTATTTTGATTAAAATTATTGAACAAAATGTCTCTATTTTTGTTTTGATTGATATACAGATGGAGGCATAAAATTGAAGGCACAGGGTTGGTGCACAACAACATTAAAGAGTTCAGGTTGAAGATCGACATTAAGGCCAAAAAGGAGGTATGCATAATTTGTATTTTTTAATTATTATTTAAATTAACTATATTATCTGATTTAAATAAATTTTATTGTTTTTGTAATTTTACAGTTTAATTGGAGACCATACATGAATGAAGAATTATTTGCGTTGATACCGCACGATATTTTAGATGGGTTTCAATATTGGTGTGCTGTTACACCATTGATCAATTTTGCTTTTGTTGAGATCCAATTTGGGGATAGAGTGCTGAGGCAATTCCACTTCCACCAACCTATTCCGCGGAGTCCATGGGATCATGACCTCCTCCAAAACTTAGATGGTCGTCGTCCAGTGAATTGGGTTGAGACGCATGACGACCTGCACAGATTTGATGGTCGTCGTAAAGAAAGCGTTAATTGGGTTGAGAAACATGCAACCTACATTAATGCTTGGAACAATAGGGCTTCATTCATGCCAACTCTTGACGCCATTCAAGACGACGACTTTAATTTTGAGACTTCGGCTTACCTTGCTTATTTTTTGGATAATGGAAAGCCGTTCCTCACAACAATAGTAGAGAGGCGACAATTTTTGAGGTTTAAAAAAAGATTTGGTAAAGCTGAATACTCTCTACCGAGTAGGAGTGGGAGTTCATCTCTACAAACTGAAGCGGAAATGACCGATGTGGATAATAGCGCACCACAATCGTTGCATCACGCAGTTGATGATTCTACTGGCCCGGCATACATACCAGAGTTTGTGCAGCCTGAGGCACCCATCTATTCTCCTACGTTTTCGTCGACGTATGACTTTGAACACATGACAGTTCAAATACCCCCAATGAATGAGGGGGATGGGTACAATACTCCTGAGCCACAACGGCCACAACGTATCAGACGTCCGCCCCGACATTATCATTCAACAACACCCCGACATCGACAACAATTGTAAACTCGTTTGCTATTTATTACAAATTATTTATTGAAATTAGACTACTTTTTTTAACCTTAACAATGATTTTTAGTATCAAATCATTACTAGTATCAAATAATTCAATATTTAGTAAATCAACTATTTTAAATCATTAGTATCAAATAATTAAATATTAACAATTAATCCTTATTAATAATAATTAGTAAATCATTAGTATCAAATCATTAAATATTTAAAAATCATTAATAAATTCGACTATGTATAAA